ACTGGTTGTGGTGGTGGCGGACGTGGAACTGGTTGTGGTGGTGGCGGTGGCGGTGGCGGACGTGGAACTGGTTGTGGCGGTGGCGGTGGTGGTGGTGGAGGCCGTATTATTATAGGAGGAGGACGAAAACCACCGAAGAATCCGAAACGCCTCGGCTCAATAGCATCGTCATCTGCAAGAACACGATTGCTTGTGCTCACTTGGAGAATGACAATACAGAAGAAAAGCAAGAAAGTCGACATACTGATTGTGACTGTTTATTAGTGTGATCGTTGAATATGAAACAGCAATATGGCGCTGATCATTTATATATACTTTTCGGTCGTGAGCTTCCTGTTTTCTACCTATTCGTCTAAATTTCGACGGTTTCTACATCATTGAAACCGAGGTAGAACTATTTTTGAAATTATTTCTTCGACGTCATAGAGTGCCAATTAACTAGAAAATTTATTCTCAATGTCACTGATGGGTATAACCTACTTTAAACTGCGATCTGTTTTTTTCAATTTGTCATTCGATATTATAGGGGCTGTACGTAAACAGGAAGAACTACTTCCTATGTGCACAGAAGAGAAAATAATTCGAGTGCAGCAGAAAATAGAACGACAACATTCTTAGGCAGTCAAAACGAATGAAAATATAAATGTTTGCAGTGATTCGAACTGTTTTTACGACGCAATATGGTAGAAATGAGTGATCACTTATGATGACAATTAAGAAAGCGCTTGATTAACCTCTGCGATAAAGCAGCTTCCTGCCAACATTTCTGTGAGTGACACCATGGTACCAATATCTACGTCAGTTGCAGGTGCAGATGTTTGCTTGGGGACCACACTCGAATCCAATCTTATCCGGATTCGCTTGGTTTTGAATAAGCTTGGAATTTGAAAATTCTCTTTTTTTATCAAGTCCTAGTTCGGATGTGAGTCGAGGTTGAGATAGGGATTACAGCTCGTTAGATCCAGAACTTTTGAACCCGAACTCGGGCACAATTTCTTGATGTTTTTCAAATCCTATTCAGACTCGGGCTGACTTCAATGACTTTGCTCAGAGCCGAGCTTGAACATGAACCCGTTTAATTAAATTTTTTCGGACTCGACTGGAATCATTTGTGATCCATACTCATAAAATCTTCACTCAAATTTTAAAATTCTTCTATATAGTCGCTCCAAAAACACAAGATGCTTTTTTAACTTGTTTATATCCAGCAACTAATACACTTCCATGGCGTCAAACAATAAAAAGAATTTCATCAATTTCATCAATTTTATAACAAAAACACAAAAAAGAGGCATTTCTGATGGTGAAATGGGCGACACAATAGCTGTTTTTCAAATTCATTGATGCAATGGGACATATTAATTAAGCAAATGCATTGAATTGCAGTTTTTATTATAATCATGCGATGATATTAATGGAAATGTCTATTTTAATCAATGAATTTGAAATGCATCAATTGTTTTTGTACGTTTCATCATTTTAATGCTATTTTTTTGAATTTTTCACTCTTCGAACCTTCATATTTCTCAAGTCATATTGGCGATGATTGTACAACGAGATGAACCTTATCAACTGTTACTTTTCGATTGGCAGCTGTCAAGGCACAAATGGAAGCCGACTCATACCTAAGAGTGTCACATTAGCATTAGCATTAGCATTAATCATTAAGCCTAATGTTTTAGCATTATCTAGACTTTAAACCTGTATCTTTTCAGAGGCAATCTGGCATCATGTCTGTAATTTTTGTGAAACTCACATATATTGTCGAACAAAATAATGATTTCAAGGTTAAATCGAAGTTTTCGCGATTTCTCTTAAGTTCTAGCAATTGGTTTAGCAAGATGAGGGCCGAGGTCATTGAGCACATTTTCATAACGATTGAGATGGACAGGCTAAAATTGCTTGCAGATAGTTATCTAGTAAAATGTCAACGAGCAGGTGGATATTAACGATAATTGGGTACATTTTCCTAACGATGGGTAAAGGGACGTCAGGAGTCACGGTGCATGGATCATTTTGGGGCCTTCTAAAATCTTCAGAAGCATTTAATAATGTAATATGGGATTTGGATCTGGGAATGGGGATGGGTTAGAAGAAGACTGCACTCACAGGTACATTCAAAACTGAGGTGATGAAAATGAATTTGAAAGAGTGTAGATGTGAGGCAGAGGTCTCAATGTGCTGGGGTCGGCTGATTCGGAATTGCGATGAGAGCGCCCATAGTTTCGAATCTTGAATAAAGTATAAAATTTTCAAAAGATATTATGCATTCCGACTAACTTTTTTTCCCGAAGACCTCATGGAATTCTTTCATTGGCTAAAACATTTCTGCAATGGACAACATATATATAAAGTAAAAGAAAATATTGTTGTTATGTTGAAACAGTTTCTTTATATTTAATTCCTACTGAACATTGGCAAGCATCAATCTTTGTTAATACTTTTTCTTCAACGATAGATGCTGGTTCATCATCACCTAAAAAAACAGTATACATCAAAATAGATCGAATTTCTTTTGAAACAAAAATCATCGACAAATGCTATTCTTAAAAATGAAAAAGCAAACACATCTTTTAAGGTGAAGATTTTTGATGTCCCAACTAGAAAATACTGGAGAATTCAAGAGAGTTGAAGACTTTGCAAGTTGTCGAATATGTGATCGAGCATTTGTTTACACATCAACTCGTATACTCGAAATATTCTTGTTCACTCATGTGTTCATAGTTTATTAAATGCAATGTGATGAATGATCTATAGGTGGCTCATTTTTCAGAAAAAAAAAACCATGGACCGATTTCCTTCGATCTGATCCAGTTAATTGAGACATCTAGTGTAGATTCGAGCTGTTGATATGGATGGCGATATGGTTATCTAGAGTGTAGATGTGTGTGGGTGTTATTTTGCTTATGAGGGAGGTCTCTTAGCAAATGCAAATGTACAATATATCACAATAGTCATTTTTTCTGTTTATTTCGAAAATAATTCATATTTCAGAATTAAAAAAAAACTTTATTCATAATCAATTTTACCACCATAAATAGGTTTTTTGTCAAAACTATCATATTTTATTTCTAAGGAACATGGGTTAAGAAGTTTTTCCTATTTGATCAAAGTTTCTAGTATTTTTGTTTCCTTTTGATTTATAGATGCAATGTATAATAAAAATAAATGATTAAGTCTTTCATTGATATTTGATAATAAACATCGTAAAAATGATTCCAAATTTTTGTCTGATTTATCAATTGTGAATTGCTGTAATTGAGGACAAAGATTAACCAAAAATTTTATTTCGTTTAATGTACATTGATATCCAATTATCATATGTTGAATTTTATTTGTTTGAGATATTAATCGAAAAGCATTACTTTGTTGAATTGGTATCAAATTTGAATCCTGAAGTGACATGCTGCATCTAATTTCAAAAATATGAAGATTAGGTATGCATTGTAAAAGTTTGATTATTTTGTAAAAGTCATCATAGTAAGAACGAAGAACAAATTTAGTTAGTTGATTCACCGGTAAAATATTATTAAGATTATTAGAAAGAAGATTTTTACTTTGCTCAGTAGAGCTAAACACTATAATGAGTTCAGTTACATTTGGAAAATATTTTTGTAAATTAATCATAACTTTTTCAGTTCGAATTTCAACTTGATGAACAAAATTCATTATCGTTTTTCGATTATTTATATGAATATTTTTGTCTTTTTCTTCGTATAATATATATTGTTTTCTCCTTAAAAGAAAAAACTAATAAAAAAAGACAAAATAAATGAAATTTTGTTTACCTGTATGGATTCGTTGAATAGAAACTGAGAAAATTTTGATCTCGTTTTTTATCTACATAATACTCAAAAAACCATTGCCGTTTGAACCAAAATAAAGAATTGAATTTATTGATCATCGTAATAAAATCGACAATATTTTCAGCCCAATTTAAAGTATAAGAAATCAAAATATTAAAAATTCGTAAATGTGGTATATGAGATAAGATCAATCTTTGCCATCGATTAGCATTTAAATAAGCTGCACTAGAATAATTGGAAATATGTAATACTTGAATGGGATTCAAAAGAGATCGACTCATGGATTCTAATTGATCAAAAGGAATATCTAAGCGATTGAGAGACACATGCGTCAAATGTGATAACACTGCTGAATATAATTGCATTTGTGTAGTAGGAGAATAATATTGAGAATAAATCGACAACCGATTAAGATGAGGAACATATGATAAAAGATTATTAAGATCATTCAAAACATGTGTACTGTTTAAAATGAAATGTTCAATAGGACTAAATTCTTTCGTTGCAATTGGCAATAGTTCAGGTTGATTAGAATCGTCTAACGATAGTTTACAATATTTTAGTGCGGGTAAACGAAATATTTGTTTATAAAGGTTAGTTTTATTTTGAACTTGATCTTGACAATTAACTATTAAAGAAGATAAATGAGGTAAGACAAGTAGATATTTGAGAAGATTTTCAAAATATGTTGATTGAATCTTATTAAGAATAAGCGCTTGAAGTCCTATTAATTTTGACCCCATAGAAATTGATGAAAAAACGCGATCAATGATAAATGGATTTGATTCGATGTATGTTAGGTATGATTATCTGTGTATGATAACGTTGAAAAGTTGATTTTGATGCAGATAAAAGTTTAATTTTTATGGGAAGAGTTGAACAAGTAAGAAGATTTGTAAATCGAACATTGAGATTGAAGAAAGTTTCATATACATGAAAAAAATCGAGAAAATCAAAAAATTTCATAAATTAGTTCATTAGAAAGATTTTCAAAACGACCGACAGAATTTCTTGATAAAATAAAAAAAGGTGACATATTAAAACTGAAAAATAAAGAAATCTTCTATCTATTTGACTGACCTCTTAGAATCAATTGCTACCTTCTTTTTCCTATTATCATCAACAGTATTATTTTGTCGTTTTCTTTGTTCCATAGGAAAATCAAATCAATAATTCCAACTGATATCAAGTAAAAGAAATTGTGCTTTATTGAAAGAAAAATGACATACACGTATAATATTTCTTGGTGTTTTTTTTTAAATAATATTCTTATCGTACAGAATAGAAAAGAAAAATATTTGTTGACAAAAGAAAGGAGAAAAAGAAAGTTGTCAAGGGAATTGTCGTCATACGCTATCAACTTACATGTTTAAGGCAATTTTTTTTTAAATTTCTATTTGAGTCAAACATTTATTACGGGATCTATGACCATGGCTGCACAAGTATTACTTGCGTTTTCGATTGATGAGTCAATAGTGATAGAGACAATAAAGCAAACCAACTTATTCTTTAAAGTAAATATTTCCGAGTGCGATGTGACTTAGTGAAGCGATGGCAATGCAAGTCTTCTTCTCTGAACATGCTTCCATAGAACCATCTAACGAACCCATACACAGACACACTGATTCTTATGTCCAACACCACACACACACTCACTCTGTTTCAATTAGATTTATTTTCATTGTCACAGAGAAAGATCTTCATGAACATTTGAAATTCAAGGAGATTCTGCCAAAGAAAACAACCTTACAGAATCAAATAAAATATAAGCACAAAAAAAAATGAACTGCAAAAGCAGAAGTGAAAATTATTATTTATTGTAAACACATTTATTTTCTTATCAATTAATTATATTTTGACATTAAGATAATTGTAAAATTGCATCATAACATTCATATCCATCTTCGGCAACATATTTTTCTCGAAAAATTTGAAAATTATTTTTTTCATAAAATCGAATTCCTTGTTCATTTTCAGTCAATACACCAGCCCATGCAATTATTCGTTTTTTGCCCAATCGTTTAGCTAAATCAATCATCAAATGAAAAAGTTTGGTACCCAGATGCTGATTTTGATATTCATCTATGATACAAGGTGCGAATTGAATATCACTGTCTTGATTTAGTTCTATACCGTACTTGTGATATCGTTCAATGTCAAATTTTACTAAATCGAAATTGAACTCGTATACTGCGATAATTTTTCCATTCTCGGTGGTGGCTACCATTCGTAATATATCATTTCCATCAATGTCATCACAATATTTTTGTGCACATTGCAAATCATAGCTAGGATAAGTAGCGAATCGACGTGTTTTCTCTGATAAACGGTCGAAGAATTGTTGCAATGCACTAATATCATTACGTAATAATGGTCGAAATACAATTTTTTCTGTACCAGTTGTTTTTTCCAGATAAATATTTTGGGTAACCAGAGTTGGGTTTTGAGCAATTTGACGTAGTGTTAACAAATCTGTCTGCATTTACTACCTTCAAGATTCGTGTCAATGTGAATTGTCTGCTGTGCTGAATGCCTATGAAAAAGTGTCTTCAACTACCTTACTATTTCGTGCATTGCATACCAAACTTGATTCTTTTTTCTTTCTTTCACAATATTCTCGTGTGCGGCGACAAGCGCAGTTAATTGACAGTGTGATGGAGACATGTGAATTGTGTAATTACACCCTTCTCCGACAGATATATTGTTATTTATCTGGTATATTGGTGACATTTGCTTTATTTTATCTCTTTTTTTTCCTCAAATAGCATGTGTTCTCGATTCTTTCATTCTTTTGAGGGCAAACAGAAAGTTTTTGGAGCTAGATAGAGACTTTTAAAGTTGTATCATTACATTTTTTTTCATTATTTTTCAAGGAAGAACGTACGAATCTCAACGTTAAATTTCATTAATTGATATCAATTGTTTGAATTTTTGTGAATGTCTTTGTTTTTAATGATCATCATATATGTAGTTACATTCTAAATATGTAGTGTGATCTGGACTAAAATATCATATATCATGACTCCATATAAATGAATTTGAATTCCACATGAGAATTTACTACTTTCAAAAGTCAAAAAATGCTGATTTTCTATAATTCTACCTATAGGTTGACATTTATGATGAGAACATATGAACAGTGTTACTATCAACATTATAAACGATAATTTTTATGATATGTATGACGCTGTAAAACAACCGTTAATATTGGCACAATATTATTTCGTTACTCTCTTTGCACCTCTTTCCGCTGTAAGCTAAAACCTCCGTCTAATATCACTAAGACAAAGTCATAATGTTCTTTCTTGATGGATCTTGGAAAAAAAAGACAGTGTGCTCATTGTAAATGAAGCTAATATATGTAAATTTACAAGTTTCTATCGATAACGATGCATGCATACATACGGTGTAGGCATGGGTTGAAGATAATATCCACATTCACATTCAGACAACATTTTAGTACGTCACAAACTTTCAATGCAACAGAACAAAAGATAATTTTTTTTTCCTGTAGTTTGTCTTTGCTTTGTTGAAGTTGATTCATTTCAATTTTTTTCTAGGTAAACGATAAGAAAAGTGCAAGATACTGTTCCATGACTTCTCATTCCTCGACAATCAATGAATATCAACTTAATGATGGCTATTCTGTTCAACTTGAACTTGATTTAAGGAGTTCAATTACTTTGAAGCTTTGCCATAATTATGTGGTAAGAGGATCTGTTTCATTTAACGACGATCGTTGTTCGTTACTCACACATCGACTCTGTGAAACGACAAATGACTTTTATGAATTATTAACTGATTTTTTGTCAACAACATCATCATCTACTAATTCTAAGATGTGCGTTGTAAGCGATGATCATCTCAATATGTCATTTCCAATATACTTTGGTAGTCGAAATCTAACAAAAATCTGGTCGTTTACCATTGAATTTCTAAAGTTACCGTCGATTGATAGTAATAGTATGGAAGAGATTACATTAGACCCTCTTGATTGGACCGAAACAAGATTATTAGGACATCAAGTCATGGATGATATGATCAATTATTTGCGAGATCTTCGTCTTCGACCTACATGGCGTCCTGTACCATTAGCTGTACAAGAATCATTAGCACAACAAGATATCCCATTGAAGGGTCAAAATCCATGGCAAGTCTATGATGAAGTTCGTTCGCTTATTTTACCGTATCCATTGGGTAATATTCATCCTTGCTTTTGGGGTTGGGTTATTGGTACAGGTTCGCCCATTGGAGTTTTGGCTGAATTAATTACGGCAACTATGAATAATCAATCATGGGGTGGTAATCAAGCAAGTATTTATTTAGAACGTCAAGTATTGAGATGGCTCAAAGTTATTATGGGCTTTCCAAATGATGACACGTGTTCAGGGGCACTTGTGAGTGGTACATCAGTGGCAACGATGGTAGCATTAGCTGTAGCTAGAAAAAAATTCCATGATCGTAAGATGAAAATCTATTGTTCAACAGATGCACACAATTGCATTATACGAGCGGTCGATATTCTTGGCATTGGAAAAGAAAATATAGTTATCATTCCAACTAATAAACAACGGCAAATTGATTTACAGGTATATTAAAGATAAGACAATGGAAACTTGTCCAAATTTATTGTATTTTTCTATTTCAGATCTTGGAAAAATCAATCGATCTAAGTTTTGGTGGAGTTATTGTTGGCAGCGCAGGCACAGTAGGTACTGGTGCTATTGATGATCTTAATGGATTGGCTGATTTATGTGCTCGTCATCCTAATGATCTCTGGTTTCATATAGATGGTGCTATTGGAGCAGTAGCTTGTTGTTCGGCACGTCTTCGACCTCTATTGATTGGTCTCGAACGAGCTGATTCAATTGCATTCGATCTACATAAATGGCT